CGTTACATTTCCGACGCGTGCTTGCGGTGTTCGGCCAATCACAATGTACTGGGTCAGCTGGCCAATGAGAGCAGACTGCGCTTGTCAAAGGAGGGGGCTTTGTTGAAAACTACGTGTTTGAGAGAGGCAGGGCATAGAAGAACTAAAATAATGTAAAGTATTTGAAAAATAATGTGTTTTTTTAACATTAAAGCATGTCAACATATTCTGTTACACCAAATACACAAAATAATGATCTTTAAAATAGTATCATATGACCCCTTTAAACTAAGCATTTTAATCTTCATAGTATGCAGCCCTAAAGATTGCATTATTTCTGATTATAATATTCATTTAATATGATAAAATATATTATAAATGAAATGCCATATAATAACACAATATAAATGTAACAATATAAAAAAATAACACAATATACACATTTTATGATATAATAGGTGACAGTTATTTATATCTAATTACTGTCCCACAGTCCCAGCATAGGAAATTATCAGAAGTTGTTTGCCTCAGTCCCAAAATGTACTAATATTTTGAGTAAATATTGAAAACATTAAATATTTTTGGGTCACTGAAAATATGAATTATTTTCGAAAATATTTTAGAGTCGCCAAATCCATGGCAATGCGCCATTGTGAGTGAAATAGTGGGAGTAACGTATTTCGGTAGCCTCTAATGTTACCTTGTCAGATTGGTTGACCCTGCTGTATATCTATATCTGTTCACATCAGACCAAATTGATTTTAAAGGTATGAAACAAAGGAGATTAGACATCACAAGAGTGAATTTGGGTAATATTAAAGCTGTAATTTTCATGCTGTTTTGTCAGTGTGTTATACTGTTGTAAGGAACACTTAAATACTTTTTCTTATTCGTTTCTTATAATTCAAACATAAAACGTTTGTTGGCCAATGCTATTTTTCAGTGATATTCAGTGATATGAATCTATCTGTTTTATATCTTTTTCTTCCCTCAGGTATTAAGTGTCTCTCTTCATCTGATGTGGATAGTTTGATTTATGGCTCAGATTGTTGCTTTCTCACGTTCTCTTCACCTGCAGCACCCACTGTGGGTGAGCTTAGCATCATTGTGCTCTCGCAGTATGTCGTCATTAGACACTCGAGCCCGGGCTGTGTTTTCTGCAGCGGTTGAAGGTGTGCAGCCGGACATAGTGGTCCGCAGGAGTCTGGAGCGACATGGAGACAAACTACTTGTGGGTGGACAGAGTTTCACACTTACCAATAACCTTTATCTGGTGGGCTTTGGAAAGGCTGTGCTGGGGATGGCAGCAGAAGCAGAGAGGATTGTAGGAGACCGTCTAATTAAAGGGGTGGTCAGTGTGCCTCATGGTATCCAGAAGACACTACGCAATCATGGAAAAGAGTAAGAATTTTAGTGCTTTTTTTAATTACATATTTTAATGTGCCTCTGGTTAGTGAGCAGTTTATGCAGCAATAAACTGGGATTTTCATTAGTTGATCACTAATTGATTAGTTGGTCAGTGGTTTCCCAGAAAATGTAAAAATAAATGTAGCCTAAATTCGAAACATTCTCATTACTGTAATGTGACAAGAAATTGATTTATTATTAATTAATGATTTATTATTTAAATTGTACATTTTTAAGTATTTGGTGTACCTAATTCATGCTGATTTAAATATAAATCTAGAATATCTACCTATCTATTTATTTTTTCATAAGAATTAGGGGTGGAATTCCTTAATTGTCAGGAAAATATAAGAATGCAAGAAAACTTCACTGATCATACAAACAGGTTTCATGCTAAATATAGTCATGTAGCCCTGACGTCCAAGTGTTTAGCAAGGTTTGTATTTGTATTTTGTATTTAGCTGCACACAGTACAGTCTGGGTGTTACTTAAAAACTGTTTGTATGTCCGGACAGGAAGATGCTCCTTGAGAATAACAGCAGAATTACAGTGATGGAAGGAGCAAAGAACAATTTACCAGATACAGATGCCCAGAAGTCAGCAGAGTGTATTCGAGAACTGGCCAGTGGTTTGACTGAGAAAGATCTGCTGCTTGTGCTCATCTCTGGTATTATAACTTATTTTCTTCATATAGAATCAGTTTTCCTTTGACAACATGCACTACGATTCAAAAGTTTGGAATGTCTTAATGTTTTTGAAAAATGGTAGCTCACCAATGCTACATTTATTTGATCAATAATACAGTAAAAAACTGTAATTTTATATAATATGATTGCAATTTAAAATAACTGTTTTCTGTTTTAATATATTTTAAAATGTCTTTTCTATGATGGCAAAGCTTCATTTTCAGCAGCCATTACTGCAGTCTTCAGTGTCATTATAATATTGTAATTTGGTGCTCAAGAAAAATGATCAGTGTTAAAAACTGCTTAATATTTTTGTGGAAACCGTGATACATTTATTTAGGATTCTTTGATGAAAAGAGCAACATTTATTTGAAATAAAAATCTTTTGTAACATCATATTTGTCTGGTGTCACTTTTGATTAGTTTAATCCATCTTTGCTGAATAAAATATTACTTTATTAAAATAAAAATCTTACTGACCCATAACATTTGAATTGTAGTGTATTCTCATGATTCTTCATGATTACTTTTCATACATCTACTACGTACAGGTGGTGGTTCTGCTCTTTTACCTGCTCCAGCCCCACTCATGTCCTTGCAGGAGAAACAGGATGTGACACGAAAACTCGCAGCAGCAGGGGCCACAATTCAGGAGTTAAATACAGTAAGACGAGCCCTGTCATTGTTGAAGGGTGGAGGCCTTGCCCAATGTGCCAACCCAGCCCAGGTAACACTATTACATAAAAAATGACATGTAAAATAATTTCTTGAGCAATACCCAATGGTGTTACTTGAGCATAATATTTACTCTGACATCACATTCTCTTTAAGGTAGTGGCATTGATTCTGTCAGATGTTATTGGAGATCCTCTGGATTTAATAGCCAGCGGTCCAACTGTCAGGAGCGACTCCAAACCAGAGGAGGTCTGGGATATCTTGGATCATTATAAGCTCTCTGGCTGTCTTCCTTCCTCTGTGAAAGAGGTGCTTAGACCCCATTATGGGTCACAGGTGAAAAAACAGCCAGAAGAAGTCAAAGACCATGTTTTAAATGTTGTAATTGGCTCAAACACTATTGCTCTTGAATGTGCAAGCCGTAAGGCTGTTGAATTAGGACTTAGACCCGTCATTCTGTCTCCAGGAGTATGCGGTGACGTTCGCTCTGTTTCACGGCTATACGGGCTGCTCTCGCGTTTTGCATGCTCCCCAGAAAAGGAACCTCCTCCAGAACTCGCTGCAGAGATCCTTCAGCTTGGACCAGAGGTTGGGGTAGAAAGCTGGGACTTGTGTCGCACCTTGAACGTGCTCGTAGAGGAGAGGAAGGAAGGCTGGGGTGCGACCTGTCTTCTGGCTGGAGGGGAACCCACTGTGCAACTGACAGGAAAGGGCAGGGGAGGGAGGAACCAGGAGTTGGCTCTGTGGGTGGGGCTTGAGCTGAGTAGTGATGAAGTAAAGTGTGGTGCAGTGTTCCTCAGTGGAGGAACCGATGGACAGGATGGCCCCACTGAGGCAGCTGGTGCCGTCACGGATGGGGAACTGATGGAAGAGGCCACGTCTCAAGGTCTGGACATCGATGGCTTTCTCACCAATAATGATTCGTTCACATTTTTCTCACAGCTCTCTGAAGGACGACGGTTACTCATGCCTGGACTGACAGGAACCAATGTGATGGATGTGCATGTTATGCTGCTGCCACCATCAGCCCAAAGAGACTTCCAATAATTTGACTCCAGGTTGTTTTGTGTTTGGAAGCAACAAAATTATGGAGGAATAATTTTATTTTTTTTCTTTTCTCTAAGCTAGTTCACGTTTTAAGATTATTTCATGATATCACTTATTTTAACCACTAATGTTTTTTCTTCTTGTTATGGATGACTCCTGCTTGGTCTTGAACCAATGTAAGGTGCTTTTCAATGCGTATTGTTGTACACTGACTGAAATACAATTTACCTATGAAATAAATAACAGAAAACTAATACACAATCAGATACAAATTGTATTCATTATTTGCACTGCAAAAAGACAGCAGTAACCTTTTAGACAACTGTAAGAGGTACAATTAATGTCTTTTTATCTCTGTACAGTCAAGTCTATTTTCTTACATCACTGAAATTAAATGTTTGACTTCTACACACAGACTAGATGACTATGTGAACATTTGGGACCTTCATTTTGACTAGTATTCTTGTCAGTTTTTGGTCAAATGATACTGTGTGAGAATGGTTCATGTTTTGCTATCTACTAACTTCCAGAATTCAATCCAAATAAACTAAAGTATTCAAAAAATTCAGAGCTGCTATTTATCACAGCAAGCTCCTTTAACGCTCTCTCTCTAGTGCATAGCACCATTCTGCCAGGTATCGTAGTGCATATATTCATGTGTTTGGACCTTGAGTTTTGCACCACAGTCTATCACAGACATCTTCACGAGTAAAACCGATACAGTTGCACAAGTTATGATTATTTAGTCTTCTTGAAGGAATGTAATTGCCTTTGTCCATCTTATGTGTCTGTGCTCTTAGTCCAGTTGCAGGTACATCACTCACGGTGGGTTTTCATGGCATCACCAGCTCCACTTTCCCTAGGAAAAATTGAAAATATTAGAATTGACAATGGAACAGCAGTGTTTACAGGGCTATGCATAAATTATGTGTTAAGAATTTTATACTTTTTTTTTAAATAATGTTTTATTAATAGTGCTTTTTATTACCATTGAATTAAAGATCTTTTGTGCCTATCCTCAGTCTGTACACTTCAAATTTTAAGTTAGAAATGGGTAGCATGTGTTGTGAGGCACAAGAGAAGCTGTCAGATATAGTACCATAGTCTGAGATATATTAAAAATGTAAGTAGGCCCGCTTGTCAGTGAAATAACTCGTCTAAATGTGCTACCAGCATAACACTCATATGATGTGATATAACGGCAGGCTTCACTAAGCTCCTAACCCTAAAACTGCAAATATAGTGTTAGAATCATATATACTGATAAGTAGCATATTCAGGACACTGGCTCATTTCAAAATGCACAAGACACGCTTCAGCGAATCAGTGAGTTGTTCACTTGAGGAGCGCTCCGAACAATTCGATTCGTCAGTGAATGATTCAGAAGCCACTCATCAAATCATTTTTTTTTTCAATAGCAAATTCCCCGCACTCATCCACACACGCATTATTTGGCTATATTCAGAGTTAGAATTTGGAAATGAGTAACCAACGATAAATTAAATTTCAAGTCTTTTGTTCATTTGTCACGTGACTGACTCACAACGAACACTAGAACGGCTGCAGGCTGGTAACTTACCATCCGCTCAGGTGAGGCGCAGTGTTAGGAGTCCCGCCATTCTGTCCTCCAGTCCCTGAAGAATTATCACAAGCATATATAATTACTACATTTTAAAAGGCGCAAAATACAGGTATATACAGTCACAAAACTGTACTCAACTGTTGTTTTATAGGAATTCTTATTGATTAGGTGGAGCAGCATAAAAGAGCACCTTGGCAAACACTCACCCTGTCTGTAGTACATGTCGTTGACAGTGTTCCCGTACACTTTCCAGGCAAAGTGGATGGCTACGAGACTGATGATGAGCCAGCTAAACAGTATTTTAAACACTGCAACTCTCATGTCGTTGGCCAGCCAGTCGTCCACAAATTCGGACAGAAAGGACACCAGACTGTCAACCATACGAGACAAGAATTCAAAATCCCACGATTCCTCCATTCTGTGTTTTTTTTTTCTATCTTACATTCTAGTGTCTGGTTTTAAACTAGATAGCCAGTGCTTTCAGAAAATACATGTAATTGAGCATCCATCTTTAAAGTAAACAAAGCTGAGCCGCTGTCTTCTTCGCAGAGCGATGTGATCATCAACTGGAGGTTTGAAAATAATCGCGGCGGCGTCATCGCCATCTGTCGGCCTGGGGTGAGTGTGACCGTCTATGAACTCAGTGATTCTCCATCAAAATGAGCATGGGTGTTTCTTCAGCTTTAGGTATTTTTATTCACATCTTATTTTTGTGAAAACAAACAAAATTCAGATTTTTTTATTTTTATTATCAGGTTGAAAGCGCCACAGTCATAATTTCTTTTGCTACTTTTCAAATATGCATTTTAAATATAGTTGGATAGTTGTTTTATATTTGTCTCAGACTTTCTAGAGACTACTACTAATATCCATTAGGACAATGGGGCGGTTTCCCGGACAGGGTTTAAATTAAGACAAGAGTAGGCTTAATCTAATCTAGATTAGTTAATCATAGTTTAAAAAATGGCTTTCAGAAACACAGATTAAGTGCAGATTACTAACTCCTAGACTAGCACGACAAAGGTTGCCTATAAAACATGGAATGAACCAGGAAAAGCTTAAAATTTTATGCAACTGAGAAGCAAATCCAAGGAAAACAATAGCAGTGGGAAAAAGACTGCAATTAAACAAACAAACAAACAAAATTAACAAGACAATTTTTTTTTAAAGCAAGCAAACTACACACATCAGGGGTCGAATAAAAGAATAGGAATTCATAGAAATCTCTTTGTAATGAATTCTTGCATAAATTCTTGCAATCAGCTGTTGTTGTCAGTTTTGCAACATTTTTATTATTATTATTCATTGTGTTATACATAAAGCAGCTGTTTTAGAGAGAGAGTGAGTGAGTCATGGTCAGAACTATATTGGCACCCAATATGATCAAAGAAGGTTGTGAAAATACACCTGTATATTTTTTTATCTTTTGATCTTTAAAAAAAAAAAAAAAAAGTAAATAAAACCAAAATAAATTTACAAAAAACCAAACATATTTGTAGTTCTAGAAATTCTTATGAATAAAATGACTGATGATCTATATTCCCATTCATATTTACTTTTTTTTGTACTTTTATTTTTTACTATATTTACTCTTTCATTTTTTACTTTTAGCACACCAGGGTGACTAGGAACATGAAATTATCCAGCCATAAATTCCTGTTTCACAGGAATATAACTACGAGGAACACAAATGCCTTCATCATACCCTTTATCATCCATCACAACGAGAATAAACAAAGAATATAGTTCTGATGTGCAGCAACAACTGTTATGCTTCACAAAATATGAAGTCAAGAAAATAGCACAAAATAGAAAGTCAAAAAGAAAAAAAATGTAAGAAAAGAGCTAAAGCATTAAACATTTCCATTTCTGCATTAGGACAATAATTACGGAGTTTCAATCAACAGGAAATGTTACAAATTTGTCTACAGTAAATTGTCTGTGTCTATATTGTCTTAATGCAATGTGAGGAAGATAGTTTGAGTGGCCAATGACTCTCCGTGGATCGCTACAGTGTGAAGGTAATTAAAACTTTGAACTGAAATGCCATTGAGAAACAGTTAGTAATCCATTTGAACGTATTTTCCCGGAGGTAACGTTGTACTGTGCTGATTTTATCGAGCAACCCGACCGAAAGGCAAAGTTAGTGTTAATGTTTACGGTGGTTAGCGATAACAGAACCCCTGTTTAATACCATGACGTTCATTACTTTTTTGCAAATTGTGTACAATCCTTCAGGCATATTTTTTCCCGTGTATTACGACTAATTCGTGTCAGGGAGTGACTGGTGGCACCAACTAATGTGGGGTGGGGGAGGGGATATGTTACTTACAAAACGTTAAAATGCCTTCTGGCTGAGCTGTAAGTTATACCTTATAAATTTGATCACAAAGAAAATACTAGTTATTTTGCAGACTTTCCCTTTCAAGATACGTAATTTCACTAGGTGGTCTTAATTGTAACAAATGGGAAAATCCTGTCAGGGAGTGAGTGGCGCCCGATTTATTTGGGGTGGGGGAGGGTATGTTATAGAACGTTAAAATCTCATAAAATGCTTGCCACACTCACATTTAAATAACATATTTCAAATCCGCAACAAAATCTTACATGAATTGTCTTATAGATGTTGTATCTTGTGCTCAAATGGCGTTATAAAAAGCTTCAGGTCGGCCCAGCCAATACGAAAAAAAGCGCGCGACTCAGGACACCGTTTCTATGGCAACCGGAGTTTCTAGCTTCAGCTGCAGCAACGCGATGATTGGCCTTTGAGCCTTCAGAAGGCGGAAATATTCCGCCATATTGCGTGTTGCACTTTTCTTCCATTCATAGTGTTATAGTCCACTGTCTTGGTTTACATTTAGTTTTACTGTTAAAAAAATCTAGTAAATGGCTTGTTTTTAATGTCTTGTCTTTTATCACCATGTTCCTCCAGTTTGACATCTTGTTTTGCTTTGTATGCTGGCTGTTAAGTAGAAGTGGTGAGTATTCCAATCTTTTATTTAATTTATTTCTAACTTAATTTTGTTTTTTTCCATTTGTATGTGCTGTATCTGTATTAACAGGCTATATACGGCGAAATTAAGTTATTTGGTTAATGAAATTAATTGAAGGTTTAGCATTTATAAGTAAAATATATGTAATAGAAGTATTATTCAAAGGTGTTTTTTTTTTTAGGTGGTTGCATTTACGTGATGTTTTTCTGCTCAAAGCTTTTGTAAACTGCTTTGAATGATCTGCATCTGTGAATTTGGTGAGCATAACCCAACATTTTTAATCCTACTTATTTATACTTGTCATTTTACCTTAGTTTTTGGTTGTTTAAAGGGGTCATGCCATGGATATTTGATTATTTTTTAAGAAATAGGGCTGCACAATATTGGAAAAAGCTGACATTGTGATATTTTGTTTTTCTGTGATATATATATATATTATATTGCGATATGAAAAAAATTCACCAGATGACTTGAATAGCTCAATTTGGAAAGAATGAATCATTCTAGGATGATTGGGGTGATTTTGTAGGTGAGTGAATACGCATAGAAAATAATGAACACATTACAAGCATAGATAAATATAATAGAACAAAGATGCAAAATTAAATAAATAATGCTAACCAGCAAAACTTTATATCAAAAGCATCCTAAATGTTACGTGTTTGCACCATATTGTAGTGATTAACCTTTCCTGGTATTGCTATTTTAAATAGACCATTATAATCTGTATTCTGAGCCTGTCAAGGGCTAATGGCAATTGCAAATAAGTTACTAGTTAGTTTAAAAGAAAATTATTTGAATCATTTTCAAATAATGTTTTTTTTTTTTTTTTTGCCAAAAAAACCCCTGCATGTCCTCCACCCCCGGAAAAAGTTCAGGCTTAGGATTTTTTTTGCTTTAACTGAAACCAACCCACCCGCTACTTAGATTATTGATCAGTCCCTCCAGGATTTTGCGGGACCTTTTTTTCTTATTTCTGGCTTAAAATGACTGAAATTGCAGCATCTTTTCTCAAAATTTGCGGTGATATTTGCGGTATTTCTTGTTTTGCAGTGTAAATAAAAACACTTGAAATGGTTCTAAACAGTACCAAATTAGGGTTCTTCGGAACACTTTTTGGTGCTAAATGGAACCCTTTTTATAAGGTTCCATAAAGAACCATGCTTTGAAAGTGCTATGTAGGACCTCAATAGTGTGATAAATTCTTTATATTATTAATATATATTTATTTTTTTATTGGCCTAGTCTTATAATGTCTTCTACCTCTAATATCCTCTAATATGGTTTTACATTAAAAAAAAATTTTTTTTTACTGACATGTGAAATTGTAGCAAAAATGTCAGTGCTCTAACAACAGCTGAATATTATCAGCTGAATAAAATAATTATTTAAAGACAATTGATATTAAACATGAATAAATACGTAAGGAAGTAAATCACAAAATAGATGTAGGCCTACATTCTTGAATAAAGTTAAACAAAATTGACTTGTTTTACTGCTTTTAAAACAAAACAAAAACGTCAAGGGAAGCTTTGGACTACTTAATACTCATTATTGTCCACCTTTTCCACTACACGTTTGATGGTGTCTTGTCTTTTACTTCATGACAGGAGATATGCTGTCATTGTTCATAGTTATTCGTTACATTCCATGAAGCAGTTTTTAACTTCACACAGAGAAAGCTAATTTCTGTAGCACATACTCAGTGAAAAAAATGTATTGTACTTTGGACTACTTTATACTCCCTTTAAATTGGTTATATTCTCCGTGTGCTATTATCACACTCCATGTGCTGTAAAGACAGTGCCTGGCCTGCGTCTCAATACATACTATGTATACATACTAGGGATGCTCCGATCGATCGGCCGAAGAGCGATATCGGCCGATAATCACATTTTATGACTCGATCTGTACTCACTAACTTGGCCGATCGATCGGAGCATCCCTAGCATCATCTTAAAGTCTGTAATATGCACAGTATTACAAACCCATAGTAGTATTGTTGCTGTTGCAACATTAATGCAAAGACTGATAGTTGTGTACAGTGTGGTCTTGGAAATTAATTATGTCTTAGTTTAATGATTTTAATCGGTCAGGATTAGTTATAACATATGCTTGAATGCAGGTTGTAATGTCATGAGATTAATACATGCTATATATTTTTAAAACGTATTAAACTCACGACAATATTATGCATCTCTCGCGACTTTATATCCCGCATTGAAGCATATATTGGGAGTTTAGTTTTTTTTTATGAATAAATTATATAAATAATGTTTGTCGTATGGTGATATGAGCAGGGGATTTTACTTTTTTTAAACTGTATTGTATTAATGTTGTAGCTAAGACTAGTAGATGTACAAAATACATTTATTTATGAAAGCCAGCTTACAGTATTTTAAAACTAGAACTAACCAGGTTAGTTTTCTTTATTGAGAAACCACTGCATATATGAATGAAAGACATTAAAATCACGTTTGTTTAACAAACATAAATTATGTAGCTTTAACATATATAAATCATGTTCATGTAACAAACAAAATATGAAGCTTTTAACATATATAAATCATCATTTAACAAACATAAATTATATAGCTTTAACATTTAAATC